GGTTCTCTCCTAATTGGCGGTGCGATCATATGCTTCCTCGCCTGGAAGCCCCTAGGAAACCCGAATCCTCAAGCGTCCAACTTGGCTCTCGCCGTTGTCCTTCTGATTGTGATTGTGCTTACCACAATCTTCAACGCGTGGCAAGATTGGTCCACCTCACGCGTCATGGCCTCCATCGGCAACATGCTACCACAGGACGTGCTAGTGTTGCGTGATGGCAGCAAGCGCACTGTTCCTGCTTCGGAGCTCACCCGAGGTGACATTGTCGTCCTCTCCATGGGTCAAAAAATTGCTGCCGACATGCGCATCATCGAAGTTGGTAGCGAGCTTTCCTTTGACAGAAGCTCACTCACCGGAGAGTCGGATGCCATTCTAGCCACTGTCGAGTCTACCGATGACAATTACTTGGAGAGTCGCAACGTCTGCATGGCTGGAACATCCTGCGTCGGTGGCAGCGGTCTCGCAATTGTCACCGCTATCGGTGACTCCACCGTGCTTGGTCGCTTGACCAAACTCTCCTCGGCGCCTAAGACGGAGCGCACAACGTTGGAAAAGGAGATTTTCTATTTCATCATCACTATCACTGCGCTGGCCTTTACCGTTGCGATCATCTGCATCATCGTTTGGGCGGCTTACCTTCGACCGAAGCATCCGGACTTCATGTCTGTCTCTCAGCTCCTCGTCAACGTCGTCAGCATCCTCATTTCTTTCATCCCCGAAGGCCTGCCTATCTGCGTCACTCTCAGTCTCACCGCCATTGCAGCAAAACTTCGCAAAAGTCGGGTACTGGCCAAGTCCCTTGGCGTGTGCGAGACTCTTGGCTCTGTAAACGTCCTCTGCTCCGATAAGACGGGAACCCTGACTCAGAACAAGATGTTTGTCCAGAGCTGCGGAGTACATGGCTTTGACTCGAACCCTCAGGACGCGGCCAAGCAAATCACAATCGACGCACCCATTGGAGACTGTCTTCGACAATTGGCGCACGTAGGCGCCATCTGCACTGCCGCGTCTTTTGACGAATCTACGCCTGCCAACGTCCCCCTCGCGCAACGGAAGATTCACGGTGACGCGACAGACCAGGCCTGCTTCAGGTACTCAGAAGAGACTTTCGGAGTCGATCGAGCAAATTCCGGCTGGCAGGTCCTCTCACGACTCGCCTTCAACTCAAAGAACAAATTTGCTCTGCATGTCGCCGGAGCGATCGAGGGCGAAAAGGGAGCAGACCGCAAGAGACTCGACGAGACACTCGGCATGGAAGCAGCCAGATTCGATGCTTGCGACAATGCCATTCTCTTCGCAAAAGGCGCCCCGGATATCTTGTTCAAGCGATGTTCGTCAGTTCTGGATGCATCTGGCCAAATCGTCCCACTCACTCCCGAGCGTCAAGCGCACCTCACCACGCTTCAGCTCTCGTGGGCCAACCGCGGACAGCGCGTTCTGCTCTTCGCCCGCCGCGTCATCGATCGTCCTCTGAGCGAGCTTGCTGAGCCCCAGCTCATCGAACTGAGCCAAAGCCTCACCGTGATTGGCCTCGTAGGAATCGTCGACCCACCTCGTCCCGAAATCCCCAACGTGGTCAAAGTGTGCCGTGGGGCTGGAGTCCGCTTCGCTATGGTTACGGGTGACTTTGAAGGTACGGCCGTTGCCATCGCCCGTCAAATTGGTCTAGTGACTGCCTCGAAGGTCCACAAGTTCGAAGATTTGGCGGCATTGACGCTACCGGAGTACGACTTCCTTGCAGACAATGACGTTAGAGAGCAACGAGCACTGGCGTTACTGGTGGCGATCTCATGCGTTTGCAGCCCGAGGACTGGAACAATGTCTGCGCATTCGACGAGCTCGTCTTTGCGCGCACTACACCCGATCAGAAGCTGCGCATCGTCGAGGAATTCAGAAAGAGGGGAGCTGTGGTCGGTATGAGCGGAGATGGTGTCAACGATGCTCCAGCTTTGAAGAGCGCCGACGTCGGGATCGCCATGGGCAATGGTAGTGCCGTCGCCATGGAAGCCGCCGATCTTGTCCTGCTGGACGACTTTAGCTCCATCCTGGATGCCTTGCTCTACGGACGTCTTTGCTTCGACAACCTCAGGAAGAGCGTCGCTTACTTGCTTCCAGCCGGCTCTTTCTCCGAGCTCATCCCTGTGCTTCTCGCGTTCTTTGTCGGTCTGCCGCAGGCGCTCAACAATCTGCAAATGATCTTCATCTGCTGCTTTACCGACTTGGCACCCTCTCTCTCCCTCGTCCACGAAAAGCCGGAAGCAAATCTCTTGGCGCGCAAACCACGCAGCGTCAAACACGACCGTCTGATAGACGTCAAGACCCTTGCGCATGCATACTTTGCCGTCGGTGTGCCTTACGCCTTGATCGCTTCGGCGCTTGCCTTTGCTTTTATGCAAGAGAATGGCGTGCCCTTCTCTGACATTGTTGCCAAGTATGGAGCTGGCACGGTTCAAACGGAGGATCCTGCGAGATTCCAAGAAGTACTCAACCAAGCCAACACCATCTACTTCTGGGCACTCATCAGCATGCAGTGGTTCAACCTGTTTGCTATGCGTACCCGAAAACTCTCCATCTTTCAACAAGCGCCCATTGGTAACAAATCGACTCAGAACCTCTTCTTGTTCCCAGCGCTCGCCATCTCCCTCGTAATGGGCATCATCGTCTCTTATCCGCAAACATTCCAGAACATCTTTCTCACTCGTCCCATCGTCGGCAAGTACATTGGCATCTCAATGGCCTGCGGCCTGGCCTTGCTCGTCATCGACGAGGTGCGCAAGCTTTTGATCCGCACCTTTCCCAACTCGCTCTTCCCAGCCAAGGCGGCTTGGTAGGCAGGCGCTTCCGGATGGTGCACACGCTTTTCACGAATTAATGATTATTTTGTAAATACACGTACCATAACGACTTTCATCGGCTCACGCTGTAATAAGTATCACCAACAAAGACATCCATGTGAAGCGCCTCTTGGTCCCTATGACTCGTCGTGCACACTCGCGCGACGGGTGATCAGGATGATGCATTGAAGACACGGACATGTCCAAAGACGATGCGACCAATGGAACGAGGATACTGAGTGTTGGTATGTTACATTGTCAGTCTTGAAGGGCTCGGATTGTACGACAGAGGTACGCCAGGCTC